CCCCGGTGTGTCAGGGAACTCACCAAGTGTCAGAAAACACAACCCTCTCTCTTTTCCTCCGTACCCAAATCTCTAAAAACGGGGCTGCAACGGATCTGATACAGACTGATCCAGATTAGAAATATCTCTGACGTCAGAAACGAGGAGCTCCGCCTATATGGGCAACTCTCCACCAATCAGGAAGAGACAGCCACGGCCATTGCCGTTCGAAAGCGCTGGAAACGCTGTAGTACATATGACAGGCCTGTAGGTGGCGCTGTAGTCTGCCACAAAAGCAGCGAAGAAGACTTCCCACAGATTCAGCCGTTGCAAAACCAGGGCTAAAAAAGAGCAAATAGGGCGAAATGAGGCATGGCTAAAATGCATGATCTGTTTGGTATTTTGAAAAAAAACTTCTCAGACATGTTTTATATAGGTATGGCCCTACAATATATGTTTCAAATATACCATGATAGGTCCACTTTAAACATCCTCATGGACCTTTCGTTTTATGGAATTGTAATTATTGTATTCTAACTGTATTTGTGTCATTGTGCTATGTACCCACTCATTGGTATTTTCACATTTATCTCTCATTTTACTATATTCTCAGATATGTTTGTTGTTTTTACATCATCATTCATGTTTGTTGATTTGTGAAGCCCTCTGAGACAAATGTGATTTGTCATATTGGGCTATATAAATATATTTGAATTTCATTTAATTGAATAAAACAGCTGTACAGATATATGGTTGCAGTATTATGGCAATCCCTATTTTATGTTTTCTCTTATGTTGTGCAAACTCCCTCTCCCCTTCAGAGTTGTTTGCAACTGAGCACGCCCATGTGCGGATGCTGAGTGTCCTCCAGATGATCTTCTACAGGCCTTTGGCGAGAGAGGAGCTCCTGACCTACACCGATCTCTCCGCCATCTTCCCCAATCTGGATGAGATCATTGAAATGCACTGTGAGGCAAAAAGCAAACCTGTATGCAGTGAATGTAAATTAGCACCTCGAGTGTGAAGCTGCTCGTTTTGTGTACTTGTTGCCAGTGATAAAGGTAGCTAGATGTACAGCATTACAGAATATAAGAGTTGGAAAGTGAAGAATAAATCAGTATTAAATGTTTCCTTCAGAATTGTTGGTAAGGTATGAGTGCACATATAAGGAATTTGAATTTGGTTGATCTCAAATTGACTTATGAAGACAAAGAAATAGAGCTTAAAACAAAGCTGACCAAGATATAACAAACTAATAAATACATATTGAATGACTAATGTACTTAGTAAATGTAACATAGGGTGATTCATGTTTAACAGTTGGTTGAATGTAAATAATTGATTTGTTTTTCTCTGTCTGTGAATCCAGATAACTTCCTGGAGAGCCTGACCAAACTGCGATGTCAGGAAGATCACTTCATAGTGAAACACATCAGCACCACAGTGCTCAACAGAGTGAGTACTGAATGACTCTATCTCTCTTTCCCCTTTTTCTCCGTCTGTGTTTGTTGCTTTTAGGGAAAACTCCAACGGATAAGTGCAGATTTAACAATTTCATTTCCACATAACTTTACAATAGTTGTGCCGATTCTATGCTTCTCAATGTTCAAATGCTATTTATGTATGAAAGCAAAATATTGGCTGCAGCTTTATCACAATCTGTACTCAGTACCCTTCCAGCTCTTTCTCCATCTGCCCATCTATTCATTCCCTCGTTTTTTTTACTTCTGGCTTTCACAAAACAGTGTAATTTCATGTGTGTGTGTGTGTTTTTTTTCTTCAGTTCGGAGGTACGGAGGGGGAATGGTTCCAGAAATTGACAGCCCGCTTCTGCAGTCACCAGTCGTGGGCCTTGGACCAGATCAAGAGCAGACAGAAGAAAGAGCCACGCTTCAACTCCTTCATACTGGTAGACACACACACATATATATATACACACACACACACACACACACACACACACACACACACACACACGCGCGCGCACGCACACGCATGCACACACACACACGCACACGCACACGCACACGCACACACACGTACAAACACACACACAAACTGACTCTTAAAGGATTAACAGGAATAAACACACATGGATGTTCCCACAGATGCATGGACATGTTAGGGGTCAGATGTCTGCACATATTATATAAACTCATTCTGAATGTGTGTGTGTGTGTGTGTGTGTGTGTGTGTGTGTGTGTGTGTGTGTGTGTGTTTCTTTCCCCAGGAGGCAGAGAGTAAGCCCCAGTGCCGCAGGCTGCAGCTGAAGGACATCATTCCCATAGAGATGCAGAGACTGACCAAATACCCGCTGCTGCTGGAGAATATTGCCAAGAACACAGGTGTGTGTGTGTGTGTGTGTGTGTGTGTGTGTGTGTGTGTGTGTGTGTGTGTGTGTGTGTGTGTGTCCTATGCCTGGTTGTAGTTCACTTTTGTGTAGATGTGCTCAGTTTACACATTTTAATGAGTCCTTAGATTTTGACTAATGATGGTTATGCAGCTTAATTATGCTTATTAATAAAATGCGTAAAGGAGTGGACACATTACTAAATGTTTTATTACAATATTATGCTTTCTATTGTTACGATACATTTTTCTGAAAATTGTACTGGACTTTTTTTTTTATACTAGACCGACCAAGACCAATGTGACCTAAAAGCAGTTCAATGTACAATAGCATCCATATATATTAAAGGTGTTTGAAGCACAGTATAATCAATGTTGTTGTATAGTTTCATGGAATATATCCTAACGCTGCTCTGTATTTGCCATTTGCCTTTTTTTGTTTTACAAAAGAGGGAAAAGGTGAATAAAACGAGTTAAAAGTGACGGATAATGATCCTTTCATAACTCCATGTCTTGTGTTCATGTAGAACGTGCAAACTAATGCATGGGTTTATATATGTTATAACAGCTATATGATGATCTATCTGTTTGTGTGGAAGTGCAGATTAAGAGTAATGCCGACGTGTATCAGAAGAACAAAGGATAAATGCGGACTAACTTAAGCACGGCAGCAAAACATTTAAACAATCGATTACTGTCCGTCCCAGGTTCTCTGTGTCCTCTCGTGATTTATGGCTTTAGTTTGGGCTCTGCTGTGAAAGCTGTATTTTCCTCACCTTTGTTTTTTTCCTGTCTCTCCCCAGAGGACCTGACAGAGAAGGAGAGGATCCAGCAGAGCGCAGAGTGCTGCAGAAAGATCCTCAACCATGTCAACGACGAGGTCAAAGAGATGGAGAACCTATTGGTGAGAAACACACACTCCATCACTCAACACACCGCTATGTGGTGATTGAGCACCAATTGAAGTCTAGTGAATTCATTTTGAGACGTCTTAATGTCTCTGCTTGTCTGTTTCTGTGATGTCTGTCCTCTTTCTGACCTTTTCTCTCTGTCTCCAGAATTTGAAGGACTACCAGCGCAGACTGGACACATCGGGGCTCAAACCCAGTAATGAGCTGTACACAGAATATAAGGTAACGTGTATACACTGTTAAACTTTACAGATTTTGACCTTTTTTGCAGGAAATATTCTCATTATTCTCCCACTGGCTCTTCTAGAACATCGACCTGACTCAGAAGAAGATGCTTTATGAAGGCCTGGTGACCTGGAAAGTCACAAAGGAGAAGGCAATTGGTAAATATACTTTGCTTGTTTACGTATTGAAACCTTCCTGGGATTATCAGTTCTGCTGCAGAAAAAGGGGCAAACATTCTTTAAAGACTCTTAAATGTGAATATGATGAAGTGTAACACTTTATTAAGCCAGTCATTCTAAGCTTAATTAATAATAATGATGTTTATTCATTTAAAATCCACATAGATGTTCCGCTTATCTGATTTTAAGCGACACACTTTGAGCAAAGTTTTATTTTGAATATTTCGGTTTTCAATTCCTCTTTTTTAAATTAAGATTAAGGATTGCTATCAAAGGAAACCCAGCTGCAGTGTGGGTTTTTTTTTTTAAACTTATTTTTAGCCATGACTTCCTTTTTTTTTAATATCAGGTTCAGTTCAATAACCTATCCCCAGTTCAATCAAATTTAGTTCAACTTTATTATTCCTTTATTGGCAAATGCACACAGCCTGGATCAACAGATGCTCACACATTAGTACGTCGCAACATATTGCTTTCACATGAAAAGCAGAACACACATTTAATACACACAGAAAACTAAAATAACCATAAACCAGCAACTAAACACGTCAAAAAAAGTTATAAAACATTAAAGGTCCCATGTCATGGCCATTTCTACTGATCATAATTCCATTGTTGGGGTCTACTAGAATAGATTTATATTGTGCAATTTTCCAAACTCACATTGGTTTCTCAAACAGCATCTCTGTATAGTATGTGTATTCACTCTCTGTCCTACACAGCTTGTTGGAGCTCCTGCCCCCCCCCTCCACTCCCTGTGAGCCCACTGTGCTCTGATTGGTCAGCTCGCCCTCTCTGTTCTGATGAGTCCACCACCGTTACAGCGGAACATCAGTGATTATTTGTTACAATGGCGTTTGTTAGCAACCAGGAAATGACACCAGTAATGACAAACAGATGGGTTGCTGAGGGGCTGCAGCACCCCCATCTGCGAGGCTCCACTAGCAACCGCATCAAAGGTCTAAAGTCAATCAAGGCAATATGCTTAATAAACTGGATGTGGAATTGGTCCTAACTACATTAATAAATACATATAAATATCTGAAAAGAACAATCTAAAGTAATGAAGCATACATGTAAACAATTACCTGTGAGACATTTCTTAAAAGTCCCCTATTATACTGTTTTTCATCCATATATTACAGGTCTCAGATATATACAGAACACGTCTCTGAAGTGTTTGGCTCCAAACACCAAACAGATCATTGCAGCA